CTTCCAAAGATGAAAGCCTTCTACTTCAGGTGACTGAAAAATCTGTGAAAGAGAGCACTACTGGGGGTTGAATAGTTGATTGGTTTTAAAAGAAAGCAAAGGGAAAAGTAGGGAACTCAATGGAAAAACAATAATATAATTTTTTTGCTGGGATTCAAACCACCAACCTTCTCTTTGAAAAGCAAGAAAAATAGCTATTGCGCTATTATAGCACCATGGTAAAAAGTCTTATTTTAAAATATTAGACAGCATGGTACATACCGATTGAATCGAAGGGCTATTCCTTCCTCTGAAAACTAGGCAATGGACTACTGGAGTCAGCCTACAACAATCTGAAGCACACTGCCTGAAATAGATAGGAGCACTTGAGGGAGTCTAAATGGAAAAGTATAATTTGGGAATAAAAAAAGAAAAAACACACTCTGAGGCAGTGGTGAGATTCTACCGGTTTGGACTGGTTCGGGTGAACCATTAGCTCTAATTTTCAGCCATGAGCAAACCGGTTCTCTCTTTCTTTGAAGTGGGCCGGCCTGCCCGCGTTATACTCACCTATATTTCTGCTCCCGAAGCTCAGCTGATCAGGGTGGCAGAGTGGATTGCCGCTCGTCAGCTGTTTTCCTTGCTCTCAGCAATGTGGAAGTTCAATTTTCTGCAAACTGTGCGAAGCGCACGCTCAGCAAACTGGTTGTTAAACTGGTAGGATCCCACCACTGCTCTGAGGCCACTTTGAAGATGAGAGGAGGATTTAACATATTATGGTGTTCATTTCTGTCCTTCTAGAAATGATTGCCTACCTATCCTGGCAAAGGGGCGACTTAGAAGTATTGATAAGATCACCATCACTGTTTTCATTCCTTTCTTATATTTCCATAGCCTGAATAGACCCACTCCCATATGTTCAGCTTGAAAATGAAACCTCGTGGAAACATTTCATGTCCAAAGTTATAGAGCAATATAAAGCTGTGTAATTGAAAGCAGAGAAGAAGCCATCCCGAAACAAACATAAACACCAACAGAGAAATTAGAAAGCAGGCTGTAAATGAGGAAGAAAAATGAAAAATGAAAACAAATCTGATAATACGGCACAGATTTCTATTAAATTATCTCTGCATTCAGTTGTCTGTTGAGCATCATACGTATGTTATCAATTTGCATAGCTTTTACTTCTTGGGTGAAAAAAATTAAAATAACGGTGTGGGCTTCCCAAAGTTTTTTAGGCCTGGAAGCCATTTTTTTGCATTGGGCCTTCAGGCCTGCCACATTTAGTACTGTGGAAAACTGGGAGGGGGGATTGTATGGAGCAGGGGTGATATATAGTCATAATAACATTCCTTTCTCAGAGAGTCAAGGACATCTTGCCCTGCACCTGGAGGGGTGTAACTGGGAGGCATCTCCAGATGAGACAGTGCTTTGATTGGACCATGTGATGGACATGTGGGTGTTGGGCAGGGACTTAGACTTTCCTTTGGGTGGGGAAAACCTGGAAGTCTTCAGATTCGAGTTTTCCCAGATGTGTCAATATGACATCTCTAATAAAATTTGAGGAATTTCAAGCCTCAGGGTGTTATTTGGAACCCTGACAGCTGGATTATTAGGTAGCATTTTTCCTCTCCTAATGGTTCTTTTAAAAGCAAGCCTTCTAAAAAGTTATTGAATCTACAGAAAGTTTTTGCTCAGATTATTCTTCTGGTTGGATGGTTTTTCAGCTGCTAGCAAAGAGGAAGCATTGTTCTGGGTTCCAATGGAAAACAATAGTCATTTTACTTCTTTTCAGTTATAAAACTGTCCAATTCAAATGGGATGTAAAAGATGGAATGAAGATTTCATTTCTCACTGCAGAAGAAAAATGCTTCCGATACTATACGTTATTTTAAAAAAAAAAGAAACAGCAACAATTCAGCTCTCCCACTGTCTTATAGCAAGTACATTATTTCAAAAAATATGGTACAAAGGGAGAATTCTTTATTTCAATTCCAAGTAGTGATGAATGGGTTAGCTTGTTTGGGTTAATGTTAGCCTTACATGTTATGTTTGCATAGAAAATGTCCCTAAGGCTTAGAATTTTATACTGGGATGAAAAATCAGGGGCTGGTAGCATCTTTTCCAACTAATACATTTTATTAAAAGGCATAACTTTTAATAATCTGATGAAATGAGCTGCACTTCTGTCTTTTTGCCACCAAAGACAATGTGGCTCTCTTGCTACTATGCCAGCCTATGTCATATTGAAGGAAAGAACCATTTTCTACTTTGCAAAATCATGGAGTGAATTTCAGTATACTAAATGGTATTCCATAGCCAGCTTTAGATAATATCTCACACAGTGCTTGGTTGGATTTTACTATGGCAGTGTGGAAATTTCCCTAACTCAGATCACTTTAAGTGTCAAATATATCAATAGACAAATTAATTCTGGAATAATTACAATGTCCCCAGTTTCCAATAGCAATCATAATGTAATGTATTCTAGAATACTGAGATAGTTTACATGGTGTCGACAAATATAGGTGGTTATATTTAATCATAATATTATAGGAAAGTTTTGTACTAAAAATTATACAAAGATTTTCAAACTGTAAAATAGCCCTTTTTTTTTTTAATGCCATGACAAATCCCCAGACCAACCTTATATGTTCTTGGTTGCCACCTGGTGGTTGATTATATCACATGGACCGGTATTAGTACATATATGTAGTTAGAAGAGTAAATTATATCTTTCTCCAGACTGTTAATCCTAATCAAACCTATGGAGAACTTCATATTTCAATCCTTTGAATATTTATTGTTTAGAAGAAAAATGCAGGAATTCAGTCATTTATCTGCACACAGTCTAACTTGAATCCCACACAGTACTATTTAAAAGATTCTCAGTCCAAGTAAATGAAACACAATTAAATGAGATAATAGTCAAATGCTTAGAAAGCTGGAGAAACTTGACTATAATGTGGCTTCTATATAGATGAACTTTCTCAACTTTTTCCACAGTGTAACAGCATAAAGAGGAATGGAAAAAGCTAAAGTTATACAACTGAATTTTCTGGATCCTAAGCACTTCAAGGAGTTGATTGATCCAGGATTTCCCATACAACTAGCCCTCCATCTACTAGTATCAGATTTTATGACTGAATGCGTGTTTTTAACCACTCATTCATGTAAGATGAAAGAAATGACTGCTTTGTTTTTCCTATATCAGGGCTATCCAATCTTGGCAACTTTAAGACTTGTGGACTTCAACTTGTAGAATTCTTGGAGTTGAAGCCCAAAAAACATAAACACTCCTGATCTAGATCATCGTTATCATTTGAGAGAATAATACCACTGACAATACCAGACAAAAGACAAAGAAGGAAACAGACATCTTTGCATAAATGAATGAGCTATCTTCACATAATGTCTTAGCATTCTGTCCTCTTGATTTACTTGGCTCAGATTGATGCTATTCTTCACCCAGCTGGTGATTTGGCAATAAAAAAAAAGATCTAAACTTAGCAACCCAACAAAGGAAATTAGGAGAAGGGGTCAGAAGAGGAGAAAGAGAAAAACTAAATTATGTGTGTTTATACAAACATGACTGTACATTTGATCTGACTTGTATTTTTTGTGTGGTATATATAATCATAAAAGTAAAATGACTGCAAGAGACATTTGTACTTCGGTTTATTTAATGAAAAACCTTTAATTAAGCTGAACTCCTGAAGGGCAGATTTCCCAATTTGGCAACAAAAAGCTGATTTGGTGAAGAAGATCCATCCATCCATCCATCTATCCATCCACATACTTCCAAAATTGCTTTGGAATTTTTTATGACTGTCTTGCACAGTTTTAAAACTGTGAGATAAGATGTTAATGATCATAACTAATAGGAAATGGGTAAGGGAAAGAAAATAGGTAAGGGAAAGAAGAATAATTTCACTGTGAATCCCAGAAAGCAAATTTAAGGCTGTAATATCTAGATAATAGGTATGGACATATCAGTAATTAAAAAAATCCTGGATACAGTTTTTCCAATGTAGACATAGACTACTTTGCTTACATCACCAATTTTGCCAGATACTGTACACTCAGACAAATGCATTATATTGCCCTTGAAATCAGTGTTATCTATTGTATGTCTTATTAAGTCCTCAATTGAAGATTAGCCTGGTTTCAGCTAAGAATTCTAACATAATTCCATATCAGTTTTCTTTAGATCCCTATGGAATAACACTATTCAGATGACCAGATACTAATATTTGCATGTAATAGATACACTAATGGAAAATGTAGCTAAAGGCTGCCACAAAGAAGAGGGGGTCAAATTATTCTCCAAAGCACCGGAGGGCGGGACAAGAAACAATGGTTGGAAACTAAACAAAGAGAGAAGCAACCTGGAATTAAGGAAAAACTTAAGTGAGGACAATTAACCAGTGGAACAGCTTGCCTTCAGAAATCGTGGCACTCTCCATCACTGGTGGTTTTTAAGAAGAGACTAGACTAGGGGTGTCAAACTGGCAGCCCATGGACTGAATGCATCAGGCCATGCCTACCCCAGCTCCATGAAGGAGAAAAACATCATGAAACATGATGTGACAGCAACGTGACACAGTGAATTTGATACCTATGGATTAGACAGTCACTTATCTGAAATGTATAGGTTGAGCAGGGGGCTGGACTAGAAAACCTCTAAGGTTCCTTCCAGCTCTGTTCTGTTCTGTTCTGTTCCACTCCATTCTGCTCCATTCTGCTCCATTCCGCTCCATTCTATTCCATTCTATTCCATTCCATTCCATTCCATTCCATTCCATTCCATTCTTGCAGCCCAGACATAACTAGAACCAAGTCCTGATAAATAGAATAATGCTTGTTTCTAAGAAAAGATGCCTAGGATATCAAGATGAAAGTAGCTGCATAGATTGTCCTTGTACTGCTTGAAGGCACTGAAAATATGAGAGGTGAACTACTAGTTTCTTCCCACAAAATAACCAGATACTAAACTAGGACAGCTTAGTAGATTGCTTAAACACATTGATATGTCAGAGTGATGATACGGCAGAGATTTGGTGTGGAGTGGATAGCGTGGCTAAGGAATTCTTTCCACAATTAAAAACTTATTTGCTAAGGTATTTTGTGCCAAACATTCATGGTCTGACTACATGACTCATTATGATTTCGAAGTCAATAAATCCAAAACTATTTTCCTTCCCTCCCATCCCTTCATGGCATTTCATGACAAAAGATGGAGTACAGTATTATTCATTTATTTTGGTTGCTGTTTTTGTTTCTCTACAATTGTCTCACTGGTGGTTTTGTAGTACACTGAATATCAGTAAAACAATAAATTGGGACCAAAGTTTTGTGAAAGTTCAAAATGAGAGCATAGAAAGGTTATGACCCCTTTCTGCTTTATTCTTGAGAAATTGAAATCTATTCCATACTACCAGCTTTCTCTTGGGATTCAGAATTCAGGCAAAACCTATGTATTTTTTTTTCCAATGGATATAGAAGGCCTTAGGTTGTTTATAAATTTTGTTGGATGCCAGCCAGTAATAGTTGTTTTTCGTTATCCTCCAGCCAAATTCAATTGCCCCTTATCCTAATAGCAACACAATGGAGGATATTCATTTTCAGACCTTGGAGAGAGTGAGAACACTTTTTCTTAGGAAGATTTGAGGTATAATCAATCCTGTTGCATGACTCTGCCTTCAGTGGAGAGATTATTGCACGATGAAGGAAAAAGGTTCTGAATTCAGTACCTGCATTTCCAGTTTAAAAGTTCTAGTAGATGTTTTTTTAAAAAAATCCTCTGCTTCAAATGCTGGAGAATATTAGAGAAGATGAAATGCTGATGAAGCATCCTTGATGCTGTCAGTGCCACCACCTATCAGTTAGATCCTTGTCCCTCCAGGATGGTGACTAGCAGGTGGATTCAGGCAGTGATTAATACATCACTACAGGAGGGGACATTTTCATAGGTTTTTAAGGAAGTCATGGTTCATCCCATTCTTTAGAAACCATGACTGGATACCAGCCTGGACAACTTTTATCTAGTTTCCAACCTCGCCTTTTGGGAGAAGGTGGTGGAAAAAGTGATGGCCTGGCAGCTTCACAGGAGCCTAATGAAACAAATTATCTGGACTCCTTTCAGTCAGGATTCAGGGCCGGTTATAGAATGAAAATAGTGAGAGAAGAATGGACATTGTGCAATCATCCTTGTTCTTCTTGACCTCTCAGTAGCTTTCAATACCATTGACCATGGTATCCTTTTGGGTCAGCTACAGCTCACTTAATAAACATTTCACTTAGCAACATAATTTTTGACTCAATTGTGGTCGTAAATCGAGGATTATTTGTATGTATATGTACACACAGACAACATACTTCTTTTATAACAATAAGCTGCCCAGAGTTATCTTGTGGTAAGATGGGTAGCCAATAAATTTTATAAATATATAAAATAAATAAAAAAGTGATTAGCTATTTGACCCAGTATAAAACTATTTCTTAAACCACTGTAACTGCAAGAAATTTCCATTCATACAACTCTTTCCCCAATAACTATCATATCTAGATGTTTTAATAGGCACAATTATTTTAATTTAAGCAAGTTGCAATCAAACCATTATTTAACGAAGTTAAATAGTAACATGATAGATAGCTACCAAGTGATTCAATAAATAATTTCTAATTAACAGTCATAAAATTAACACAGGAAAAATGGTACTATGGAATCTAAATTAAATTATAGCATACTTAAGGCACTTATCCATTAAATGCTATGTGTTAATGAAAAATATGCTATAGCACTTTTTTAAATTTAATGAGGAACAGCTATTTAAGGAATTAAATAAATCAAGTTAGCAGACTGCATTGGTCCTGTCAAATTTATATCATTCCACTGATGATATGTGTTAATTATGCACTGTGTTACGTTTCAGCAAATAATGATATATAAATGAAGATTAATGCTAATGGTATAAATAAAGATCTTAAGTTATTTAAGTAACAAGTAAATAGGACCAATACTTTCTTCCAGGTTTTATTCTGAATGCATGCTTTAAATGTCTTCTAGAACAGAAAGTGGGATATAAACTAAAGCCATCATTATTGTTATTTTGTGATTTTATAGTTACCCTATTATCAGACTCAAACCCCCAAACAAATAAAGGTTCTTTAATTTTCTTTATAGGGCATTATATAGCATTCAGTCAGAGAAGTCTGCATTCTTATTACAAGGTAAAGTTAACCAGCTCTTTTCAAATTTAGTCAAACATTTTTGTTTCTATACTTCTTTAGCTGCCTGTAAAATCTTGGAACCAAGGGTACACATGTCATTTTGGCCTGATTTCATTGGTCCTCAACTCTCTTATAAAAGCCTTTAGAAGGAAGCAATCAAATGTCTAAGAAAAGGGAGGAGCAGGAGGAGGAGGAGGAGCAGGAGAAAAAGGGTTGTCAGATAGAAAAAAGAATTCCAAGGAAAACAGTGCTCCCAAAAAAGTAGATGTTATCCACATCCCCATTAAATGCAATGTAATCTCAAATAATTATTGCATAGGAATGCAGGTCTTGGCAGAAAAAAAATGCTTTCTGTCTCTCTATAGTATAGTTTCAATATGAGGGTATCTGTACAGTCTATAGAAATGTCCCAAAACACAACTCTTTCAAAGTCATCATTTATAAACATCTTTTTTTTTTTGCTTTAATTTATATGCCGCCCTTCTCCGGAGACTCAGGGTGGTTTACAATGCGTTAAGCAATAGCCTTCATACTTTTGTATATTTATACAAATTGCCCCCACAATCTGGGTCCTCATTTCACCTACCTTTGAAAGGATGGAAGGCTGAGTCAACTTTGAGCCTGGTGAGATTTGAACTTGCAGTAATTGCAAGCAGCAGATGTTAATAACAGTGCTTTAGTCCACTGTACTACAGGCTCTTTATAAACATCTGCCAGTCTCTTTGAGATTGTTTTTCATTTTATTTTCTAAAGTTTACATGGCCTCCAAATCTTTCACTTACTTAAATTTTTTTCTCTTTCCTTGATCTCTTATACTGAGTTATGTCTAAAATTGAGGTCTACTGGGTAAATAAAACTATATTTCTTCAAATTAAGCTGTTTAGGTGTGGCAAATAGCCTCTCTTTTTTCTCACAACTCACAAGCCTAGCAAAACAAGGGGCTTACATGTTTTAGATTTCATTTCATTTTTGCTGGATTTAAAATGTCAAGCTTGGTTTATAATGATCAAGTCCAAACGGCAAAATTTTGAAAGCAAATTTTAATTAGGTCGACCAAATGGGTAACAGATAAACCACATGAAATGGCTATGTACACTATTATGCTTACATATATTATCCATACACTGTTACATGTAAAATCCAACCAATTCATGACTGATTTTGAAAGCATGAATAGATCAACCCCAACATGAGAAGGATGATGTTGGCCAACACAGACTTCCTCTATGGTGAATATAGAATTGTATACTGCTTACAATTCAGTAATGTGAATCTGAATTTCAGTTCTTCAGCCCTCCACAAACCAGTTTGTTGAATGTGACATCCAGACTGAAACAAATGACTTGATTACCGGCTTATTCAAATTGAAACAGGGCTGACTTGATTACCCTGACAGTCCTTGCTATATATGTCACTCTGCATCACAGCTAAAAACAAAACATAACATCCTTAGTTCAGAAAGAAGCTGATGCTCATTTAGGGAAATGATCATTTGCTGATGCAGTAGGCATCCTAACTGCACAAGCCACAAACCACTTCTGTCAGCGTATGGCCACTTAAGACTTCTAAGTACCACCAATGTCAAGAGAACAGCTTTGCCCGCCAATTAATCCAAGGGGATTTGGACTAAAGCCAATGAGGGTCCAGTTTGATGGGCCATTCTTCTGTACTAGCAATTAAAAAATGATATCTTGCACAGCATGGGTGCAGAGAATCGCCCAGTGAGCCTTTTGCTAAACAAAAGACAAGTGGGGTTGCCTGGGTTGTTATTTGCCTAGCACAGACTGAAAATATAAAGGTTCTTTTCAGTCGAACACTCTGACAAGCTAAGCCAAGCCAAGCCAAGCTTGGGGCTCAGGCTTGTGTGCTACTCCATCTCTGCCAAGTTTTTTGAAGTTGGTGGCTTGGTGCCAAGGTGTCGTTTTTCATAAGGAAGGCACAATATCCAGCGGCCTAGTTTAGAGAGAATAAAATTGCCATCTGCAGTCACTCTAGTCTGATCTATAAAGTCTTCTTTAGTTGCTTCTCTGCTTGTGAAGAAGTTCTGTTTGATTCTTTCATCTCAATTCTTGCCACTCTCAGGGAGTCAGTTGCCATTCCCCCAACCTTGGCATTAAAAGGGGATTGCGAGGCATAATTATATATCTTCTGTTAGTGATTTAAAAGTGCTTCCTTTTTTTCACATGCTCAGCCAATATTGCATGGCATTAACAATCTTGCTTTTTTACCCTCATAAGAACTGGATCACTTGGTGAGATACAGGAAAAGTATCTAGTGAAAATTTTTTAATTTACTTCATTATACTTCAAGAGCCTTGTACCTTTTTGGCAATATTTCTCCCTGCCTCTTAAAATATACAAGATTAATACTTAAAAACGAAATATTTAATCACAGTGAAAGTGTTTTCCAACAATTAATCCACACAAATATACAGAAGAATGATTGAAGAATGATATTTCCCTATTTATATGAAAATAATCCAGTAGATATTCTTAGACAAAGGGCTAAATCAAAACTTAATTACTTATTGAAATTAGAATACAGTTCTCAATAAATGAAAGTACTAGAAGATGGTTTAAAATAAGATTGCAAGAGACTCTACTTAAGCCTAAATTTTGAGATATTTAAAATACAGTTTACTCAGTTTCCTTTACTGAAGAAACCAATGGAATCATTGTTTCCTTAAATTGTTCTTTGTACCCTTAACTACGCACAGAACAAAGTTACGCTATAATGATAATAAAAAGTACTATGAAAGAAAGCTTCAATGGGACACAGAAACCCTTCAGTGTAATATTAACATACCTAAGGATGTTCTTAGGGATGTGGTGGCTCAGTGGTTAAGAGGCTGAGCTTGTTGATCAAAAGGTCAACAGTTCTGCAGTTCGATTCTCTAGTGCCACATAATGGGGTGAGCTCCCGTTACTTTTCCCAGCTTCTGCCAACCTAGCAGTTTGAAAGCATGTAAAAAAAATGTAAGTAGAAAAAATAGGGACCACCTCTGGTGGGAAGTTAACAGTATTCCATGCGCCTTTGGCATTTAGTCATGCCGGCCACATGACCACGAGACGTCTTTGGACAGCACTGGCTCTTTGGCTTTGAAACAGAGATGAGCACCGCCCCCTAGAGTCGGGAATGACTAGCACATATGTGCAAGAGGAACCTTTACTTTTACCAACGATGTTCTTAGATATCTGTTAGCCTAGAGCTTGTGTGTCCAGTGGGCAGTCTGGATGATCATTCATCATTTTCTGTTATATCACCATCTGCAAACCAGGCATGCAATGGCACCTATATTTTTAAAAACATAAATAAATGAAAGTTTGCTAAACTCAACCTTGACAACAAGAAAAAGCCTCCTATAAAATTATGCAATATGAATTAACATCTTATTCTGAAGGCAAGGAGAGCCCAACAGCACTAAATTCTAATTAAATTTCATTCAGGGCTGGGAATAAAAGCTAAACCAGTCTTGGAAGGCCTAATCCATTTGTATGGAATATAAGCGATAGTCTAGTCTGGAAGATCTAATTATCATGAAGAACATTCTGATCCTGGACATTATGTCAAAGCCAAAGTAGACTGAATAAGGAAAGACAGGATTCTGGTCACCCTTCAGTTGTAGGGGTTATGTAGTTCTGAGTGCTCTGGCTTAATCCAGGCTGTAAATTGCATTGAAAATCAAGTTTCAGATGCTGATTTTGCCCTTGGGATTGTGCAGATATAGAGGAAAAGGGACATAAGGTATTCAGTCAGAAGATTGTATATTTATGTAAACAATGCCTTACAAATACTTTGTAAGTATTTGGGGTGAAGACCCTAAATTCTGTCACTTCTTAACAACAAAATAAACATAATGTATAGGAGGAAAAATGTTAAAATGAGAGACAGAGAACATGAAAATCTTTAGAATTTCTTTTTTTTAAAAAAATCTGTCTGTTGTAACAAATAAATTGAAGAACAGATGTTTGCATTCACAAGTCCTTTTTTTTCAAAAAGATTACTATTAGTAGGTGTTGTTAACCAAAGAGAAGTGAATACAGCTTTGTTTGGAGCCTTTTCAAAAATACCATGGGAATGTATGATGTTCAGGGACTGTGATACTGACACATCTGTATTTTGATTTAATTAGCTGTTTCATGAGATTACACTATGGCATGTGATGCCTTTCAAACCCAGCACCTGTAGACAGAATTAGAAACACTGAAATTGCAGCTACTTATGATTGCAGAATTTTAACATGATTTTTATTTTTGGAAAAACGAAGTATGAAGAAATTCTGCTAGAACTATAAGTTGTATTATAAAGAACCAGTCCGGTCTAGAATGAATTCCTTTCTTGCCTTGAATACCTGTCAAAAACTTTCACTTTATGGGGAGCAAGGAAGGGATGGAAGAAGAAAGGACAATTGCTGGTTGGGGTCTGAGATTGCCCAAGCACAATTATATAATTGTATAAGTGTCAAGCAACCCTGTTGTGTCTTCATCTCAGAAATATGCCTGGCCTTGTGAAATACCCCTAAACTGCAGTAGAATTTACAGAATATTGTCTACTTATATTTTGAGCTGCTGAAGAAGTAATGACTTTTTCCTCTGATGGGTAGCCTTTTTCATAATTTTGGAGTCTGGGGTGACAATGCTGTTCTGCTGTTTGGAATTGCATGCGACATGGCATTTCCTTGTCAAAGTCAGAATAAAAGTATCATGCATATAGAGGCAATCCTGATTTTATGTATTGATCTAGAGATGAACTTCAAAGAGGCATGCCATCTTATCTATGAACTGGCATTTTAGCAGTTCACTTTACTGTTATGTACTTAGAGAAAGTCAAAGCATAACAGAAAAATTAGATCCTATAACTAAATACAGCTCTTGCGAAAGACCTAACTAACCCCCCCCCTTTCAGAAGCAAGGATCAGGGAAAATCTGTAGGTCTATCTATCTATCATCCATCAACAATAGTTACAATTATACAACTCTACATGTCTAGTAAATAAAATGTTTATTTACAAAAATGATCCAAAAGCCTATACAAAAGCCTAAGTATTTGGTTTAAATGATAAATATGGGTCCTTAAGTTAAGTCACAAAGAGACTCATAGGAAAACCAAAGCTTACTTCTGGAAATCTCATCCAAAACTAATTTGATTTAACTATCTAATTAATTTTCCAGATAGAATAAGATAACTGAATAAAATTATATATTTGATCTGTGTTCTTCAGAACAGTTCAAAGATTCAAAAGCCCTTAGGACTATTTTTGTTTGTGTGTGTGTAGAATTAATTCAGAAAATCACTTGAACCACCAAGGTATACAAGAAAATCAAATCCAGTCTTTGATTTGAATTTATTTAGTGTTCATTTATTCACCCCTAGAAATGAGCATCATGTTTGTGATGTTTACAAGAAAAAAAATATGAATGTGGTATTAGTGGGAGAATCAATTAATAATACACTTTTAGGCCTAGTTACAGCCTAAATCTTGATCCAATAGGATATTAATTATTATTGGTGGAACAATGGCAATGCTCCTAAACATTGAATCTCTGACCAGTTTAAGGATCAGTTCTATAATAAGGGATTTTATTAATGAGTTTTGCCTAATAGGCAAAAGGTAGTCCACTTTACTGAAAAACTGATAAATATAAAACTATTTTAAAAATTAGCTTCATTGTTAGAACGGTTCATTTCTACCTAAAACTATATCTTCAATGCCTGAAAGATTCACAATAATGGAAGGTCACAGCATGGATGGCAGCTAGCATTGGTTGATTCCCCAAAAAAAACTAAGGATCAAACTTGCTGAGTACTTGAATTGGCATATAAACTAGATTGGAAAGTTGGCAGAAAAAATCTGGAAGAAGATAATGGCAAACCACTCCATCAATGTTCTCAATAACATTATATCTCCAGATCCATGAAGTCACTAATATTTCATCTTTGCCTTTGAAAGATCAACAAATGTACTACAATACTTATCTTATATTCTATAGTAGTTGCCCCAGTTTTATAGGGCACTATTTTTTGCAGTATTATTTTGACCGACAATTATATATACCGCTATTATTAAATAAATAGATGGAATAATTGAGGTTTTGTATTATATAGATCCTAACTTAGAGGATGGAATGGTAAGTGATGAGCTAATATGGAAAACAAACACAGAAAATAGTGTTAATTGTCTTCTTGATAGTGGCTATTAACAAAACAGTTGTTAGCTGTTATCCAGACCTTTTGCATTAGTAAGCTGGTTAACACATGTAGTGTTATAAAAATTCTTTCAGTCATGTGAAGATACAAAGATTTATTTTAGATTCTATCTGAAAAAAGGAAAATATTCATCCATGCACCTGAAATTCTTGTGTACTGTATACACAGAAGGAAGAATATAGTCCAATAGCTGATGGGACAAACCCGTAGGAGATGATCTCAGCAACAACAATAATACCCCTCTTTCCTGGAAGACATATTTATGAACATCAGGATTTACAAGCTGGTCCAAATGTTTTATGAGGTTTACAAGATTTAAAAGAATTTTACTAGGAAGATGTAAAACATCAGTGACTTGAAGTGGGAAGGTTTGCAAAGGACTTGGAATCAGCTGGTTTTGATTGCTGCTCTGTCAGTGGCAGCCAAATTACATTTTTTTGTTCTAGAAACACTGAGAGATCACTCACTGATGATGAAGGATCAAAGAAAGATGATTACCCAGGATGGATGAGTTGCCTCAAAACACAGTAAGTCAGAATCTTTCTTGAGTAAGCACTTTCATCTTCACTCAGGCCTCAACAATGTGCTTAAAAAAATCAAATACAATATTTTCAGTTGCATTTGTGATTCAGGTTTTATCTGGATACAAGGTTGGCTCCAAGGTCAGTACAGAATGAACTGGCTCCAATATAATACTTCTGTACAAGAAAATGCTGTTAAAGTCTTCTTAAAGTGCCCTTGGGCTATTAGCAGCAATGTACAAAAATGACTCTTAAGCGTTTGTCTTGTAACCATGATTTAATTTTAATATTTATAGCCTGCCCCAATCAAATGGGTCTCTGAACAAAATACAATAAAGTTATAAACAAAAAAACAAACAAACGAAAAGCCACAATTATTAAAAACCTCAGTAAATTGTCAAAAACCTCGTAAGGTCTCATAGCTAAAACAAGCTTAAAGCCAGATAATACTACTGAGAATCTGGGTACTCGACTATATCGTATCAGCTGAGATTCTAAATTATACAATGCTTCTTGATTCCTATCAGAGGGTATGCACAGATCTTTATCCTTTCAACTTCCTTCCTTCCTTCCTTCCTTCCTTCCTTCCTTCCTTCCTTCCTTCCTTCCTTCCTTCCCTTCCCTTCCCTTCCCTTCCCTTCCCTTCCCTTCCCTTCCCTTTTCAGACTCAAATCAAATTAATATTGTGCAGAACAGGGCAGTGCATTGTCTATTACTAGGCTGGGCATCCTCCTTTGAAAATATAGGTGAATCTGAATAAATACCCCTCTAATTTCAGGAAAATGAGAAATGGGTTTCTGGTGAGAAGTAGCAAAAATGTTCTATAAAGTGGATTCACACTGTCTTGTTAAGTATTGTATAACCCTTCATAAAATATATGTGTAGCTTGTGCTTTTGGATCTGACTCTTATTTTGAAGGAACTGATGACACCAATATTCTGAAGTACTTTCTCCAGCTTAGGTGTTCCAGTTATTAACATATACAGAGACAGCAAAGCCATGCTGATCAAATATTCTGGTAGCCGTTAGACTATGATGTGCTAGTACATTTATTTTTGAAACAATACAGCTGATAAACTGCTACAACAATCAATTTGCTGATATTCTCCTTGAAACACTCAAATGCTCTTGGACCAGCCAGCTTAAAAGATGGCATCATTCCATTTCAACCAGATCATTTTTAAGTTCTTCTTAGAAAGCTGTTCTCCAGATACTGTCAGTGAAGAGCTCTTTTTGGCAAGGGTGCCACTTCTTTTAAATAATTTTCTCTGGCAGAATTTCAGAATATTTCACTGTTGATTTTTGTTGAAGATTTATTTCATATAGCAGGGTTTTTTTGGTTGTTGTTGTTGCAAGGCTAATTTCAAGGGCCAATTAAAACACATATTTTGTATATGGACATTGATTGATAGTTATTATTACTTTCTAGTTTTATAGGAACAATTTTTGCATAGAACAAATCTGAAGTAAGTGGGAGTAAAGGATTGTATTGGAATAAAATATTCAGGTTTCAGATAGTTGAAAAGTAAGCAGTAATCATCTTATCACATTGTTACATTATTAGTCTTCATTTTATTATGTATGTCTTAAATATTTCTGTAAAAATATAATCAATATATTATTCATATAAATGAGATAAGTACATGTTCCTTGCACCCTTCTGGATGTACACCATCACTTCTTATACATAGTTTACTCTGGTTGCATTTGGGAAGTGTCAAACTATCTTTTCAAACTGATTTAGGAAGATTTGCAATAACTTCACTTGAGAAAAGTTGATCATAAATATACTTGGAATGGATTTATGTTAGGTATGTAGCTACAAATATTGAGAGAGAAATGTGGCTATAAAGCATTTTTCTCCTCTGAGGCATACATTAATACACAGGAGACTTGCAATGTAATTGAACAGATGCTCTGGAAAGGATCTTGTCCATTTTCCAAATTTTCAAGATCACAGGGACAAAAAAAGGGGAGGATAGAGGCGATAAAAGGAAGAAAGGGCTGTTGATAAATGCAGACATATCCCTCATCCGTCTGAAACAGATGTCACTCAGGGGATATCTCTTTTCGCACTGGTCAAGTTCAGCTTGTCAAATCTGACTTTGAAATCATTGTTCACCCCTTTAAAATACAGTGGTTGTCTGAGACAAGATAGCAGCATTTAGGCGCTCAGCAGGGGTGGGGAGAGGAAGAGAAGGAGGGAGACAAAGAGTCCACAGATCAATAAAAGCACTTTAGGATAATGGAAGGATCTAGAGAAAAACAAGTCTGGATGCCACAGCAGCTCCATCATTACCAGGAAATGCACATTTGCATGAGTGAAGCGCTTAATCCAGTGAGTTGCAAGGGAAGGACTGCAGGACACCTCCTTCCCTGTTGCAGCTGGGCCTGATGCTGTGAATGAGATATTCATTTGACACTACCCCAGACAGAATTATGCAAATTATGCCTTTGTTGAAACAACTGAACATACCAGCATCTCTCCTGATGATCTTAGTAATTGACTAGACCAGGGGTGTCAAACTCAAGGCCTGGTCAATCACTAAGATCTACCCCTCGGGGTGCTTAGATCTGGCCCATGGGGAGAAACAGTGAAGAACCAGCCCGCAATGTCTCTGCCAGCAAAAATGGAGCTTGGGAGGGAAAGCTCTGTTTTCACTGGCAGAGGATTGCAGGAGGCCTCCTGAAAATGGAGTTCGGGAGCCTGTTTTCACTGACAAAGTGCTCGGGCCACCACAGGCATCCACGACACGAGTGATGAGCTGGCCACACCTACCTTGGCCATGCCCCTCTGCTCCCCTCTGGTCAAATACAACCCTGATGCAGCCCTCAATGAAATTGAGTTTGACACCCCTGGACTAGACCTATCACATATTCTAATCCCAAATTGTTTAGGATCTTATATACCACAACTAAAATACTGAACTGAATTATTATTTAGGTCTAATTAGCAGCCAATGCAGTAGCTTTTAGTGCATGCCTGGCCCCGCGTCCCATTTTACCAACTGACTACCCAAATTTTATACTAGTAAGTAATATAAGTCTGAAGTTACTAGGGTAAGAACAACCCTAGCCATGATTAGTTCCTGACTATAATATGTAAAGTTGGTAGTAGGCAGTCTTGGCCATAGAGTTGAAAAAATATAACTTTCATATCTCTTTTACCTATCTTTTTCTAAGGAATTTCATGTCATTTGAACCTGAATTAAAGTTAAAATTCTGAGTAAGGTACAAAGCCTTCATTATAGACCAAAGGTACAGTTTGTCTTAATATGCTTACCTTAGATATAGCCTGGAATCTGGAAAAAAATATTTATATTTAACTAAATACTTAAATCTCTCCTTCTGGATATAGAGCTGGACAGCAGAAATGGTCATAAAGAAGCATTTTTCCTTGTTCTAATCTGAAGTGGTTCCTTCACAGAAACAAAAGAGCTATGCAAAGTCTTTTCATTTTGCAACATGTCTCATTTTAAAGCAATTTGGGCTACTATGCATCAAAGGGAGTTTTCTCAGCAAAACAAAACAATTTTTTTTAAAAAAGCAGAAAAGACATCAAAAGTGGCTGGACTAATGGCTAGGGAAGACAGCTAATCATTGCTGTTGTTGATTTGGGGGGGATTTGGGGGGATTGCTGTTTGCCATCAGGGATGTTTACAGATTAATATTTTACCTTTTGTTAATGCTAATATACACTAGCTTAATATATTTCAAAAATGCCCATCAAAGCCACATGATATTATTTATCACTAACATATTTTAGTTGCCTTTTTGGATCCAAACAATTTATTTCAAAGCAGCCATAGGGCAAGGAACAAACTGGATTATGATCCTGTTAGGCAGTGGAAAGCCTTAATTACTTATTTCCTTTTACAGTCCAAATTCAGTAGGCAGAAGAAGGGATTTGCATAAGAAAGAAAATGTGTCTGCTATTTAGTTTTTGAAAGCCATTCACACTTGCTGATCATATGAATGGAATCATATCTAATTTGGCCTTTTGCATCCTGTCTGGTATATAGGAATCCTTAGAGCATTTAGTTAGCTCCTTTTCTATAACTTCAAACCACACACACACACACACACAACACACAACACACAACACACACACAAAGTTTGAAACACAAGGGCAAGGCTAACTGGGTGAATATTCCTTTGGAGACTGTACATTTCCTTTTAGTGCAGTTCTGGTTTAATGAACCAGAGAAATTAAGACAGTCTCTTCTGGAATAGTAGTGAACTTTCAGATATGCCAGAGCAGTCTGAGTCATTTATTGAGAGGCATTTTGGTTTGGTTCTTGTGTGAGAATTTCTTAAAACTTATTTCAGAAAGGGTTTAACTTTAGGGAATAATACACTGATCCCCCCCCTCTTTCCACTCTCTCTCTCTCCTTCTCTTTCTCTCGCTCTCCTTCCCTCCCTCCCTCCCTCTCTCCTTCTCTCTCTCTCCCTCCCACCCTCTCTCTTTCCCCCCTCTCTTTCTCTTTCTCTCTCTTTCTGTGGGGGTGGTGGTCTCAATATTTGGGTCTTGAAATAAAAATCAACAGCAGAAAGTGAGGGAGTGGAAAGACATAATAGACTAAACTGAATCTGTGTTATAAGACAAACATCAAAGATTGTTTCCCTTTCATTAAAATCTCTTGCTATCTTTCTTCATCAACTGGAACTCCCTCTTTCTCACCCACCCCTCCTTTTTTTTTTAACAAAAACAAAGAACTGGGTTTTTAATAACGACCTAAGGCCCTTTTTTTGGGTTTGAGTAATTACCAAAATTGTCCATAAATTGTCCGTTTCATGACACTCTGAATAGCCTCATTTATTCGTGACAACATACATCTGTTTCAACACACACACACACACACACACACACACACACTTGCCGCCTTTTTTATTTCCATGGTGGGATTATCTATATGGTGCATTGGGGAGAGCATAGAGTTTCAGCCCCATCTCGTGTTTTGGCTGGTGGTAAGGTCCCCGTGGCCAAAGAGAAACTGAACTCTCAC